ACACAGGTTATATTTTATGGCAGCATACTTGGAATAATGTTAAAGTATCTGAGGACTTCATAAACACAAGCATTCAGTGATAATGACACATTTTGTAGAGTGAGATAAAAGGTGGCCCGTTGATGTCTGTGCTATTTCACTGCGGCTTTGGTATTGAATTTCCCCAAATGGACTGCATGTGTATCAAGGACAGAGATTGTGATGAGCTTCTTCTTTCTTTTGCACCAAACATACTATGTATAAGTATGTGTATAACACTCCAGCCATGCAAGGCACACACATGCACACACTTACAATGAGCACGTGTATGCATATGTATGTAGCACATGCACACGCCCAGCCATACATATGCACATGGGCACTTACACATAAACACTGGATCTGAAATGCATGCGCACAAATACACATGTGTATATGTGCACATGTTAATCTGCACACATATGTGCATACACACATATGCAGGCACACACACACATGTGTATACCATCTAAATTCAGTTTTCCGTACCAGTAGGTGTTAGGCCATCCACAAACACTGCATAATCAACAAGGTCATTAGTGATTTCCCTGAACATGATGACTGTGCTTTAAATCTGAACCAACTCTTTGAGAAAGAAAATCCATGCATATTCTTCTTGAATACCTTAATCAAGAACTAAAAAATTATAGTAGGCTCTAAAGAAAAGTCAACTTTGTAAGAAAATAAGAAAGTTAAAAAATACTGGTCTCCCTCTCATCATTTAACAGTATCTCTGGGGCGTTTAGTCACATTTTTTAGATATGGACATCAGGTATCCATTCTGAAGGAAGGAGAGACACCTGCTTCCTCTTAGCGAGAGAGATACAAATAATAATAACAAAAAGAATGAGCAACCTATATTCCATCAACTGCCTCCCTTCAAAGTGATACACTTTTGGGAATGTAATTGATTTATAATATTATGTTAGTTTCAGGAGTACAGCATAGTGACTCAGTATTTTTGCAGAGTCAGTTCAGTTCAGTTGCTCAGTTGTGTCCGACTCTTTGAGACCCCATGGACTGCAGCATGCCAGTCCTCCCTGTTCATCACCAACTCCCAGAGTTGCAGATTATACTCCATTAAAAGTTATTATTGAATAATGGCTATATTTCCCTGTGCTGTACAATCTACCTTTGTTTCTTATCTGTTTTCTACACAGTAATTTGCATCCATTAATCCCATACCCCTATACGTCTAGTTTGTCCTTCCCCTACTGCTGCTGCTGCTGCTAAGTCACTTCAGTTGTGTCCGACTCTGTGCGACCCCATCCCTGGGATTCTCCAGGCAAGAACACTGGAGTGGGGTGCCATTTCCTTCTCCAATGCATAAAAGTGAAAAGTGAAAGTGAAGTCGCTTAGTCATGTCCTACTCTTCGCAACCCCATGGTTCTCCCCTTCTACTTACTGTTTTTTATATCTGTGAGTCTGTTTCGGTTTTGCATGCACATTCATTTGTATTATAAAGTGATATTTTTCAAACCTAAGTCAGATCAAATCACTAGTCTGCTGTAAACCTTCCAATGGCTTCCTTTCTCACTCACAGTCAAACCCAAATTCCAAACAGCGGCCTTCCAGGTCCCGCATGATCTGGCCTCCGTGACTCCTTGGCCCACGTCTCCCACCACTCTCCCCACCTTCTTGGCTCAGCCCCCTGATTCCTTCTCATTCTTGTGCATAACAAGGGCCCACCCCAGGACCTTTGCAGTTGCTGTTGTGTCTGCCTAGAACACCTTTCCCCAAAGCAGGCTTATAACTCACTGCCTCTTTTCTTTCAGTCTCTGCCCAAATGTAACCGTTCTCTATAAAGTAGTGTGGCTTCAGCTCTCACTCTCTGTCCCTTCACCCTGCTTCATGACTTCCATAGACCTTATCACAACCTGCACTGAAATAGGTTCTTCCATCTCCCCTCCCTAACTGTAATCTCAATGAGAGCAGGGACTGTTTCATTCACTCCAGGATTCCCCAGAACCCAGCACAGTGCCTGGCATGTGCTATTGAGTATTCAGTGCCAATAAGTCCATGTTGAGTGAATGAATGAATTTATTAAACACTGGCTATGTGTCAGGTGCTTTTTTAAGTGCTTTACATGCTTTAACTCATTTAGTACTTACTTCATGAGTCTTGTCCTCATCTTACAAATAAAGCAACTGAGGGTCAGAGAATCCAAGATAATACGCCCAAGATGACACCACAGAATAATGATACATGGTCATTGTTGTCATTCAGCTGCTAAGTCGCATCTGACTCCTTGTGACTCCATGGACTGCAGCACTGCCAGGCTTCCTCCCTGTCCTCCGCTATCTCCCTGAGTTTGCTCAAATTCATGTCCATTGAGTCAGTGATGCCATCCAACCATCTCATCCCCTGTCACCCTTTTCTCCTGACCTCAATCTTTCCCAGTGTGACAGCTCTCTGCATCAGGTGGCCAAAATATTCAAGTTTCAACTTCAGCAGATATTCATTCACAAATTCCCTCCTCCCTGAGTTCTCTCTATATTTTAATAATTACAATGATTCTCCCATTTGTGGAGTTCTTGTGTGCTGGGCACAGGATGAAGTACTTTACATGCATTACTTTACTTGATCCTCGAATGTAGTAGATTCCATAATTATTCCCATTTCACAGTTGAGAAAACTGGAGCACTAAGTTAAACAGCTTAACCAGCATCCCACAGCTGGTGAACACTGGAGTCATGTTTGAAACCAGGCAGTTTGACTATAGAGTTCACAAGCTTTATGACCTCATTCCTCATATACACACTAAATATGTTACATTCAGCCCATTAATAAGAAGTGTATATCTTTCTTATCTTTATTCAGCCTGTCTAAGGTGAAAATGTCTACTTCAAAGTATTTTAGTAGTACTTCTATCTTTACTTCCAGAGGGTTGTTACATTTTTTGAAGAACCCAAAAACTGAGTAAGACATAGTTACCAATCTTCAAAAGCTCAGTTTATGAAAGAGAAAAAAAAACTACAAGTGAGTCTGAACCAAAGCAGACCTGGGGACAAATACCATAAGAAAGATCTAAATTTTATGCTTATTATCCTAAACCTGTATCTCCAGAGGGATTTCATGTCTGAGAGCTATATAAATATGTCCATTTTCTAATATATGTGCTTGTGTGCATGTGTGTGTGTATAAAATTAAAACATTCTATTGATGCCAAAATTAATTTTTTCTTGTTCAGTCGCTCAGTAGTGTCCAACTCTTCGCAATCCCATGGACTGCAGAGAGCCAGGCTTCTGGTCCTTCACTATCTCCTGGAGTTTGCTCAAACTCATGTCCATTGAGTTGATGATACCATCCAACCATCCCATCCTCTGTTGCCCCCTTCTCCTCTTGCCTTAAATCTTTTCCAGCATCAGGATATTTGCCAGTGAGTCAGCTCTTCGCATCAGGTGGCCAAAGTATTGGAGCTTCAGCTTCAGCATCAGTCCTTCCAATGCATATTCAGGACTGATTTCCTTTAGGATTGACTGGTTGGATCTCCTTGCTGTCCAAAGGACTCTCAGGAAACTTCTCCAGCATCACAGTTCGAAAGCATTAATTCTTTGGCACTCAGCCTTTTTTATGGTCCAATTCTTACTTCCATACATGACTAATGGAAAATCATAGCTTTGACTCTGCAGACCTTTGTCAGCAAAGTAATGTCTCTGCTTTTTAATATGCTGTCTAGGCTGGTCATAGCTTTTCTTCCAAGAAGCAAGCGTCTTTTAATTTCATGGTTGCAGTCATTGTCTGCAGTGATTTGGGAGCCCAAGAAAGTAAGACCTATCACAGTTTCCATTTTTCCCAATCTATTTGCCATGAAGTGATGGGACCAGATGCCATGATCTTGGTCTTTTGAATGCTGAGTTTTAAGTCTTCAGTAATTCAAAAAGCACTAAGAAAATCTTATAGTTTCCTGTCCTAAAACTGTGAAAGATAGAGGTTGACCTGAATTTTGATGACCCCAATAAAATGTGTCACAGAAAATGCATGTGCACCTGTGTATCTGAAGTCTAATAAAAGCTTCTCTGTTTATCTTTATTTCCCACGCAGAGTGAAAAAACGAGTCCAATTATTTGAACTTTCAGATAGCTCAGAATTTGGAAAAGAAGTCTTTTCTGTAATATGTTTATGATCACAATTCCTGGAATGCAGGAGACTGAATAAATGTGTGTTATCCTTTGTATTCATCTAGTTCTTGCTCTTCAGTATTTTGGTATGCTCTGTTCAGCTAAGTTTAGAATATCGTTCCACACTCTCTTTTCAAATAGGAATCCTTAAAACTAGATCTGAACAGCCTGATGAGCTAAATAGGAAAGAAGGTTCTGGAGTCCTCACACCAGTGAAGTCCCTCGGCCAGGTACTGGGCATGTACTGGGCAACCATGCAGACTGTGGGGCCTGAGGGCTCTGTGACACCAGGGAGAAGGCATGGGCTTTGAAATCATAAAGACTCGGGTTAAAAGTCTGTCCCAGTAAGTGCTTACCTTTGAGCATGCTGTTTAGCTTGAGCTTCTTTGTCTTTAATATAGGAATAATGCTAACACAAAGGCATCTAGTAACAATGAAATGGGTGAATATAGGTAAATGCATCCAGAATAATGCTTAGGACATGGTGTCCCCAAAAAAAGACAGAAGAGCAGGAAGAGGAGATAGAAGAGAAGGGGCAAAGGAAAACAGTTATTTCTGCAAAATAAATTACCCCAAAGTGAGCAGCTTAAAACAACCAGTAGGTGTGCACTAAGTCACTTCAGTCCTGTCCAGCTCTTTTAGATCCTATGAACTGTAGCCCTCTGAGCTCCTCTGCCGTGGGATTCTCCAGGCAAGAATACTGGAGTGGTCATGCACTTTGCCAGGGGATCTTTTCAACCCAGGGATTGAACCTACATCTGTCTCCTGCATTGGCAGGCAGGTTTTTTACCCTAGCACTACCCGGGAAGCCCAAAACAACAAATATTTATTATCTTATACAGTTTCTGTGGGTCAGGATTTGGTAGCAGCTTAGAAGGGTAGTTATGACCCAGGTTTCTTCTTGAGCTTGCATTAAGCTGTCAGCTGGTGCTATGATCCTTTGAAGGCTCAACTGGGGCCAGAGGATCCACTTCCAAGCTCAGTAGCATGGCTGCTGGAATGCCTCAGAAGATTTGCTTCCAGGCTTATTCACATAGTTGCCACAGGCCTTTCTTCCTCGCCATGGTCTGCCGCTCCATAAGCTGCCTGAGTGTTCCCACAGCATGGCATGGTGACTTGAAAAAGAGAAAGCCAGAGAGTGCCCAAGATGGAAACCACAGTCTTTTTATAATCTATTCTCAGGATAATCTCAACTACCTCTACCTTGTTTTATTTGTTGAAGCAAATCAGTAAATCCAGCCCCCACTCAAGGCAGAGAGATTGATTACACAGGATATGAATACCAGGAGATAGGGATACTGGGGACTATCTTAGAGAATGTGTAATATACTGCTCTGTTTTTCTCCATCAAACTAGCTTTCTAAAAATTAAGAATAAAGTGCTCAGTATTGGAAGATGTGCTTGTGGTGCATGCTAAGTCGCTTCAGCTGTTTTGTACTCTGTGCAACCCCATGGATTGTAACCTGCCAAGCTTCATGGTCCATGGGATTCTCCAGGTAAGAATCCTGGAGTGGGTTGCCATGCCCTACTCCAGAGGCTCTTCCTGACCCAGGGATCAAACCTGCATCTCTTACGTCTCCTGCATTGGCTGGTGGGTTCTTTACCACTAGCGCCACCTGGAAAGCTCATTGAAAAGTATAAAGATATATAATTCTGCATCTACAAGAGTGATTCTTAATTCAGGTCTCATGATATTCTGATGTATGTGCTTGTGCTTAGTCACTTAGTTATGTCTGACTCTTTATGACCCCACGGACTGTAGCCCACCAGGCTCCTCTGTCCATGGAATTCTCCAGTCAAAAATACTGGAGTGGGTTGCCATCCCCTTCTCCAGGATATATTCCTGACCCAGGGACTGAACCTGGGTCTCCTACATTGTAGGCAGATTCTTTACCATCTGAGCCACCAGGGAAATCCGTTCTGATGTGTGTACCTTTTAAATCTTTTTTATCTTGATTTTGCAAATGAAGATCAAGTGCAATTTTTAAATCACAAAAATTAAATTATCTTTGATTCCTTCCAATATTTTAGTATGAAAAAATTTCAAACAAAAAGCAAAATTAAAAGGATTTTGCAGCAAACATTGATATATCTCATCATTTAAATACTATCATTAATATTTATCATACTTGCTTCCTCACATACCTCTTTATCTAGTCCTCCTTTTATCTAGCCTTTTATCAGTCTTACTGTTCAATGTATTTCAAAGTAAAGTGAAGATATCAATACACTTCCCCTTAAATACTTCAGCATGTATATAATTAACTAGAGTCTAACATTTATTTGCAGTATCTTATGCAAATTTATATATATTAAATTTATATACATTGAAAGGGCACACTCACCAAGTCTTAAACAATGCAAACTCCTTTGTAACCCACACCCCTATCAAGATATATGACATCAGCCTCACCTCAGAAAGTTTCCTCATGCACCTTCAAAACCCCTGTTCCCACTCCCAGAGACAAATTATTTAAATTTTTTCTACCATAAATTAATTTTGCTTACTCTGCTGCTGCTGCTAAGTCACTTCAGTCATGTCCGACTCTGTGCGACCCCACAGACGGCAGCCCACCAGGCTTCCCCGTCCCTGGGATTCTCCAGGCAAGAACACTGGAGTGGGTTGCCATTTCCTTCTCCAACGCATGAAAGTGAAAAGTAAAAGTGAAGTTGCTCAGTCGTGTCCGACTCTTAGCAGCCCCATGGACTGCAGCCCACCAGGCTCCTCCGTCCATGGGATTTTCCAGGCAAGAGTACTGGAGTGGGGTGCCATTGCCTTCTCTGGAATTGCACATAATTGGGGTCATAGAGTATGGACTCTTTTCTGTAAGGCTTCTTTCACTTACCATAATGTTTTTAAGACACATCTGTATAACTGTGTGTATCAGTAGATTTTAAAGGTGAAAATTAAACATTTTAAGGGCTAGGAAATTACAGATGAAAGGGAACGGTTTGAGGAAAGGACTAAAAAGACATTCCTAATAAGTCATTTAGCCTCAAGTCACATTGCACAAGAAATTGTGTCTAAGCAAAGATTGACTCACTGAAATGGGAAGGATAGAAGGATAGAATAATACCTCGAAAAGGCATGGTTCTGTGAGAGATGACATTGCAGCTGTCAGTGTCATTGGATCCACTCAAATTCAGTCACGTCTTCCTGAGAATAAGTGGAGGATACTCTTAAATATTACAGAAGTATGAATCAAAATCACTCTTTGCAAGTGACTCATATATAATATTCTGAAAGTTAGAAAATACATTTGGCAAATGGACATACAGAGCCCTTTAAAAAGAGAAGCAGGCTTGGTATTTTTGTCGTTGCCTGGAGCCACTTCTTTTGTCAGCCTAGTTCTCCAGCCTGGGTCCCTGTCCGGATTGCCAATGTGGACATGCCACTTGTATCCATACTGATCCAGTCACTTGTCCTGACCTGCCCTGTTAACCAGGCTGCCACTTTTCCTGTGTTCTCCTTCCAGAGGTACTTTACTCTAGCCACTGAGAGTTCAGCTACTGTGTTGCCGTCGTCCTTGCTATTTTTGTTGCAGGACCTAATTGCTATAGAAGAAAGCAGTGCTGGCTCTGCAGGAGATGTGAATTCAATTTCCATGTCCTGTGTACTACTGTAGTGGGAATGTGTTTGAAGTTTTCTGCAACAGTAAGTGAGATAATAAATAGTTTCTGGTCTGAGTTTGCCTGTGAGGCCCTCCCCATTAATAAAACTCCTTTCTCTTCTGGCTCTACCGTGGTCCTGCCAAAAAACATCTTTAAAAATAAGGGGGAAAAAAACCTATGTTCTGGCTCAATTCTAACAGTGTAACCATAAGAATGTTGTTAACTTCTCTGATATTCCAGGTCACTAATATAAAAACTCTAGATCTTTAGAGGAGATCTAAAAATGTTTATCTTAGAGCTATGAAGATTAAATGAGGTAACACATCAACGTATCCGGTGCCTGACTTGAAGAAGGCAAGAGATCATTCCTCCCTTTCTCCTCTCACTGAACCTGTCCTCACAGCAAAGGAACCTAGCTCCCAGGGCAGCAGTCAGCACGCTAACCAACAGCAGGCTTTGCTAGTTTCTTCCTCTTTGCTAGTGAAAGAGAGATGTACCTGTAATCCCGCTGGTTGAAATGATAAAAAGTAAAACAACAACAAAAACCCAGGAAACTCCATCCTGAATTCAATAGTACTTAAAGTGTTTTTTATTTATTTTGGACAAATTGTATATAAATGCATAAAGTATACACCATGATATTTTGACACGTTGTATATGTTGTGGAATGATTACCACAATCTGCCTTGTTACCGTAGTCATCATCACCCACAGTTATCTTTTTTTTTTTTTTTAGTTTGGTAAGACCTCTTGAGATCTACTCTCTAAGCAAACTTCAAGCATACATTTTTATTTATCAGTCACCATGCTATACATTGGGTCTGCAAAAGTTTGCCCTATAACTGAAAAGTTTGTACCATTTGATCAATATCTCCCTTTTCCCTCACTCCCCAAACTGTAGTAATTGCCATTCTACTCTCTGTTACTATGAGTTTGACTCTTTTTAGAGTCCACATCATGGTGAGATTGTATGATATTTGTCTTTCTGTGTCAGGCTTATCTTACTTGGCAAAATTTCCTCTAGGTTCATCCCTATCATAAGTGGCAGACGTTCCTCCTTTAAGACTAAATAATATTCCGTTGTGTGTATTCACATATATTTATTGTATATATATGTATAATGTGATATATGTAAAATGTGACACATATGATGTTTTCTTTATCTATTCATCTGTTGACAGACACATAGGTTGCTTCCACATCTTGGCTACTATGAATAAGGCTGCTGTGAACAGAAGGGTGCAGATATGTCTTTGGGATATGATCTTATTTTCTTTGGATATAAACTAAGAAGTGGGATTGCTAGATCATATGGTAGCTATATTTTTTATTTTTTAGGAACCTCCATGCCATTGTTCATAATGACTGTACCAGTCTGCATTCCCACCAAGAGTTCACAAGTGTTTTCTCTAATTCCTCAGCAACACCTATCTTGTCTTTTTGATAATAGCAATTCTAACAGGATACCTCCCTCTCATCCCTTTCTGTGACTCAAATAATGCGTAGATTTTTTTTTTGCATAGATTTATTTTTATTGATAGTATCGTATAATTCACATAGGTTTTCTCACACTTTTTCCTTTTCCTTTTTCTTTTTGCTCTTCTGGATAATTTCAAATGACCTGCCATGAAGTTCATTGATTCCACTTCTGAGGAATCCTCTTCTGGTTGCATCTGCTAACAAAGATCCCTATTGAATTCTTCAGTTCTTTCACTATTTTTCAGCTCTAGCATTTCTGTGGGTTTTCTTTAATGGTTTCTATTCCTTTGTTGAACTTTTCATTTTGTGTATGCATTGCTTTCCTAATCTAGTTTAGTCATCTATCTGTGTTTTCTTGTAATTCACTGAATTTATTCATTATTCGTTTATTCATTATCTGAATTCATTATCAGGCTGTTCAGAGATCTTCCTTTCCTTAGGGTCAGTTATTGGATCACATTCATCTACTTCGGTGGTGTCATGGTTACCTGATTCTTGGTGATCGCTATATACTTATGTTGGCATCTGTGCATTTGAGGAATTGGTCCCCTCCTTCTGCCTTTCTCAGCAGCTGGTTGGGGCTGCTGACTTGCTTCCTGTTCTGGTACGATATGCTTCACAGTTGCCCACTGACTGGCCAGGCATCCTCATTTGGCAGGGCTTGAGGCTAATCTCAGCAGGTGGGATAAGTTGATGACTTGCCTCCATATCCAGGCAGTGATCCAGAATGGGCTCCCTGGGATGGTCAGCCTGCTGGTTGGAGACCCAAATCAAGCAGACTGCCAGCTAAGCTCTCCACCAGCTTGGCTTTGCAGGTGAACCTAACCACTGGTGGGAATCCCTACTCAGGTGCCTCTGGTAGCAGAAACAGCCTGCCAAGATCCATACATTCATCACTCTGAGCCCTGCCTCCCCTTCTCTGTTTTTAACTGATCCCCCCAGTGATACATTAGGCACTAAGTGAGCCCCCGAAGAAATGTCCTGGAATTCTGGAGAAGTTGGATGGTCACTTTGGGCTCTTTACTGTCCCACTGGAGTAACTGGAGGCCCTGGGAGACTCTTTTAGTGTGGGCTAAGGGAGAAGGCAATGGCACCCCACTCCACTACTCTTGCCTGGAAAATCCTATGGCTGGAGGAGCCTGGTAGGCTGCAGTCCATGGGGTTGCTAGGAGTCGGACACGACTGAGCAACTTCACTTTCACTTTTCACTTTCATGCATTGGAGAAGGAAATGGCAGCCCACTGCAGTGTTCTTGCCTGGAGAATCGCAGGGACGGAGGAGCCTGGTGGGCTGCGATCTATGGGGTCGCACAGAGTCGGACACGACTGAAGTGACTTAGCAGCAGCAGGAGCAAGGGAGGGGCTATGCAGTCGAAGTGAAGCTTCTGCTCTTGAGCCCTTCTAATGACTTTTTGTGACCCAACAGGGTGCTTTAGCCTCACTCTGAGCTCTGAGATCTTCACAAAGCCTTCTTGTCTGTATATAGTTACTAACTGCTCTTTCTGTGAGGGAGACCAAAGTCGGAAACTACTTACTTTGGCATCTTGCTGATGTCACTCTCTGGGTAAAGTATTCTCGGGTGGCAGTTTTTGTTTGGTGTTGTTGTTGTTTGATGTTTTTAAAAATAGACTGAATTCTTGAAGGAGAATAAAATAGTAATAACATTTAAATAGATGTCTCAAATAAAGCATCTTTCTGGCACTTCCCTTGTGGTCTAGTGGCTAAGACTCCACCCTTCCAATGCAGACGGTACAAGTTCAATCCCTGCATGGGGAACTAAGATCACATGCCTCATGACATGGCCAAAAAAATGAATAAATAAAAATAAATGATAAGAATCAGGGAGAAAAGAAGGCATCTTTCTTCAGGAGCTAAAAGATAACAGAAATATCTGACAATGTGTTCTAGCACCCAAGTCAGGCAGCAATACAAACTACATTTGAAATTTCTGCCTCAGATACTGTAACCAGCAGGAACAGAGAGAACTTGTCAGAATAAGGTATCGCTCTGTCATTCTGTCCACAGGACTGATGGACACGAGAAGTTTGGATTACACCAATAGGTGCCCAAAAGGACAGCTCCTAACAACAAGCATTTTATCATAAACACTGTATACATTTCATTCCTGCTAGTGAGCTTTATGGCTAATGCATTATAAACTATTCTTTGAGCCTTACTTCTTCTCTGAGATTCCAGAATAAATTTGTGAAAATCCTTGATTTTTTTCCAATACTGTTTCTTATCCTCCCAGTAAAAGGATCCTGGCGATCATCAATCTGCTATGTTCACATCTTTGAGCACACATGAACAAATGAAGCTCATTCCTCTGACTCTAGCAACAAATCATCCAAAATGTATTCATGCTGGTATTAACTTACATTGTGGCCCTTTCTAATAAGTATGATGTAAAGATGTAGCCAAAGTTTTTACTGAAAAAATCATGATTTTGCCTTAAGATCAATTATTTAATTTCCAACAAGAAAAGGTATGTAGAATAAGGCTCCAGCAAAATTATCAAGCCTTGAAACTATCTCCAAAATGCCATTCAGGCCTAAAGGATCCCTTCTTTCCACATCCCAAGAAAAAAATCTAGATAGTATAGGACTGAAGGTTGCAGGCTCAGACAGGCCTGTGTTTGAAACCAGCTCTAAAAGGCTGAATGCATGGCCTCTGGAGTCAAGCTTCCAAGTTTAATCCTGTCTCAGATAATTACAGTCTTGTGATCACACGTAAGTTATTTAAAGTCTCCACACCTCACTTCTGAATATATGGATAAATGAGGATAATAATGGGGTTCTTTCTGAAGATTAAATGAGATTGCTCACAGGCAGTCTTCAGTAAAATGACTGAAGTAATACAACGTTTATCTTTCATAAAGCTTGATTATTTACTTACAACTTTAAAAAGTGAATCAGAACTGTAGATATATCTACATATATCCACTTTCCTGGCCTTGCCCTGACGACCTTATGGGAGTCCCCCTTGTGTGTGATGAACTTCTTTTCTCCTGCTGCTTTCAAGATTCTCTGTTTTTCTTTGATTGTTGATATAATATGCCTCATTGAAG